CGCTCAGTCCGAGATCTGACCGTGACCTCGCTAACAAATGAGCGTCAGAAAAGTCTCCTGGAGCAGATCGACCTCCTGAGGGTCTGCACAGCTGATTCCAGGTCTCTTCTTAAACCCAAAAAACCAAGATAACTGAGGTCAGGAGCTCCAAAGTGGGCCACATAAGACAGACCGGGGTTCTTGGTTCAGATTCATTCTCATGAACACAGAGGAGCAGAAATCAGACCGGTTCTGTTCGTCTGGACCTGCAGACTGTTTCTGTTCCAGGAAAAGAGCAAAAAGAGATGAAGAGCATCAGCAGGCAGGTGGCGAGCCGAGGCGTAGAGGAACAAGGGGATTGGACAGAAGCCACGTTCAATTCAAAAGCAATCCGCTCAGCGCCGCAGACCCGAAAACAAAACCTGCCAGACAGCGGGCCGGACCAGCTGAGCCCAGGATCTCTGTGTGCTGGTTCAGGTCTGTGTGTCTGTGAGCGAGACGGAGGGAGGGAGGAGGACGGTCTCCTCAGACCTGTCATAATATCCTCAGAGGGCTGTTTCTCACACACGCACGCACGCACGCACGCGCACGCACGCACGCACACACACACACACACACTGTGCTGTGGCCCAGATGTGCTCTGGTTTCTGTGCATCTATTCAAACCTGATCCACATCACAGGAACCCACCAATCGCACGGCAGCGTGGAACGATGGCAGTTTGAACGCCCCTTTACTGTCACCTTGGAGACGGCGGTACGGATGCAGGCGAGCAGAGAGAGATCACAGCACATCAGGCCACATTAGACAGGAAGTAATGATGGTCATATGAAGGGTGGAGGTTCAGGTGAGGGGCCGACCCGACGGGTTTCTCTGACCCGGTGTCTTATCAATCAGAGCGGGACAGCAGGATCCCGGTCTGACCCCGTCTGAGCGGTCCAGAAGCTGTTAAATCCACGGGAACAAATTCTTTCTCGCCAGAACAGCAGCCTACTCAACGAGTGATGTTCTGCCAACACAGACGGACTCTGGAGACATCTGGACATCAGCAGACACCCACAGAGTTCTGATCCAGGATCCGCTGAAAACGCTTCACAACCACAGCCCAACGTTAGCGACCAAGACCGACCCAACCAGAACCATGACTTCCTCTGCTGTCAGGACGTGGTTTGGGATCATATGAAGGTCTTTCCTGGAAAAGTCCTGGTCTGGATGGACGCAGATGTTCCTCCTAAACCTGGAGATCTAGTTTTAGACTGAGGATGCAGCATCTATGATTTACAGTTCTTTGTTGAAAGGACAACTGGACTCACTCGCCTTAGTCGAAACGTCCCAAGTGAGTCCAGTCTTCTTTTCCACGCGGTGATTCCCTCTCCAGAGTCCTGTTTTTAAAACCCTGAAGACCTGGACCATCCCGTCCCGGTTCTGGACTGAATAGTTCTGTTTTGATCTTCTGTAGATGATGAAATCCACTCAAACCGGTGAACCGTTCGCTCACGCGGTCTCTCAGAGTCCTGAACCTCTTCAGACTTTCCTTCGCACAGACTCCGCCTCTCTGAGGTCATTCAATGAACGATCGTTCACGAACTCGTTCATGTTTCGGGTGAATGTGCACGTATTGTCCTTTATTTGTGTATGAACGCGTTAGTGTTGAACGCGCTCATTCTGGCGTCTGTGAGTGGCGTTCTTAACGCCGTTTACAAGTGTGTCAGATGTCCAGAGTCTTCCAGGCGAAACCCCGGCTAAAACACGCCTCCATATTTAGACACGCCTTCATATTTAAACACGCCTTCATATTTAAACACGCCTTCGTATTTAGCGGAAAGCCTGTCCGTCACTCCAATAAATACGTCAGTCGTCACGACTTCAGTAAACGTGACGGACATGGGCGGTCACACTCGCTGCCTGGAGCGTGAATGTTTTATTTGATGGATGGTAGGGGAAGGTCCTGCCCTCCTTCGCCTTGACCATCTCAGACCCGGTCATGTGACTAACCTGTTAAGGTCGACCTAACGAACAAAAGTCAAACTGATTGAGTTTCTCTCTTCAGACGTTGAAAATATCGTCTCAGTATTTTTTAAAGTTTCTTCTTCTTGATTTTATTTTTTGACATTTTTCACTTCGTCTCCGTCTTTGACCTTCATCATTAAATTCACTCACATTTGATGGTGACGCTCAGGAACTAAACTCCGTACAAACAAAGGTTTTTTAGGTCTTTGGTATCAGTTTCAGATCTTCCCTCTCCAGTTTTGGTTTGAGGTCAAACTTCTGTACCAGGAGGAATTATCCGACCAGAATCCGTCTGATTAAAACGGGAGCTCTGTAGCGTCTCTCCAAGAACAGCTGATTATCATTTTTGCTCTGTAGAAGAAGAAGAAGAAACCCTGGAGCAGCTTCTTCAAACCACCGAGTCTGAAGAAGACAGAAGCTGCAGTGTGTCGGACAGAGTTCGAACCACGATGAGACGCCGGCTGTTTGTTTGCTGCAGGGCAAAATAAAATATAAATGAAGTTTGTGAAATCTGACGTAAACTGGAATTAGGATGAAACAAGTTTGAAGTATTCTTCTTCTGGGAATCACGTTTAAATAATAAAGTTGTTTTAAGGTCTTTCTCGTCCCCCATGGAGGACTTTGTAGCCCTCCAGAAAAACGGGTCAGAAACAAAAACTCTGTTTGTCTGAGTTTTCAGAGCCGCCATCTTCCTCCTAAACAAAACAGCTCTGAATTCAGAGCCACAATCCTAATCTAAGATTAACATCAGCAGGACGAGGCTGACTGACCACATATGATCATCACACTGTGAGGCGTTCAAGGTCAGGCTGGGAAAAAAGACGACTGAGTCACAGGAAATGATGTTTTTATGGCGAGTTTAAATGACACGCCCAGAAAAAAGGTGAAAATCTACATAAACACAGACGTTTGATTGGAGGAGAGACACAGATCTATATCTATATCTATATCTATATTTATAGCTCTATACTTTCTCTGCTTGCAGGACAGTATGAGGTCCGTTTCACAGATGAAGTTCTGACCCACTGAGTCCCAGAAAAGACTCCACAGGGGGATCAATGAGGACTTGATTCAATAAGGGGTCTGATCCGGTTTTTGTCGTATGAATTTAAAGTTGATGTTGATGAAGTTAAGAAGGTCACTCCTTCACCTCTCTGAGAATCTGTGCAAACCGCCAACAGCTGTCAGCTCTCCAGCCAAACTCCATGTGTGCTCTCTCATAAATACTAAACACACAGAGCCGTGCACTCGCTCACTCACTCGCTCACTCACTCAGTTACTCACTCACTCACTCTCTCACTCTCTCTCTCTCTCACTCTCTCACTCACTCTCTCACTCTCTCACTCACTCACTCTCTCTCTCTCACTCTCTCACTCACTCACTCTCTCTCTCTCACTCACTCACTCTCTCTCTCACTCTCTCACTCTCTCTCTCTCTCACTCTCTCACTCACTCACTCTCTCTCTCTCACTCTCTCACTCACTCTCTCACTCTCTCTCTCACTCACTCACTCTCTCTCTCTCACTCACTCACTCTCTCTCTCACTCTCTCACTCTCTCTCTCTCTCTCACTCTCTCACTCACTCTCTCACTCTCTCACTCACTCACTCTCTCTCACTCACTCACTCACTCACTCTCTCTCTCTCACTCTCTCACTCACTCTCTCACTCTCTCACTCACTCACTCTCTCTCTCTCACTCTCTCACTCACTCTCTCACTCACTCACTCTCTCTCTCTCACTCACTCACTCTCTCACTCACTCACTCTCTCTCTCTCTCTCTCACTCTCTCACTCACTCTCTCACTCTCTCACTCTCTCTCTCTCTCACTCTCTCACTCACTCACTCTCTCACTCACCCACTCTCTCACTCGCTAACTTACTCACTCACTCTTTCACTCACTCTCTCTCTCTCTCTCTCTCTCTCTCACTCTCTCTCTCACTCTCTCTCTCACTCGCTCTCTCACTCACTCTCTCTCACTCACTCACTCTCTCACTCACTCACTCTCTCTCTCTCTCACTCACTCTCTCAGTCTCTCTCTCTCTCACTCTCTCACTCACTCACTCTCTCACTCACCCACTCTCTCACTCGCTCACTTACTCACTCACTCTTTCACTCACTCACTCTCTCTCTCTCTCTCTCACTCTCTCTCTCACTCTCTCTCTCACTCGCTCTCTCACTCACTCTCTCTCTCTCTCACTCTCTCACTCTCTCTCTCACTCTCTCTCTCACTCACTCTCTCACTCACTCACTGTCTCACTCTCTCTCTCACTCACTCTCTCACTCTCTAACTCTCTCACTCACTCTCTCACTCACTCACTCACTCACTCACTCACTCACTCTCTCGCTCACTCTTTCACTCACTCACTCACTCACTCACTCACTCTCTCTCACTCACTCACTCACTCACTCACTCACTCACTCACTCACTCTCTCACTCACTCACTCACTCACTCTCTCGCTCACTCTTTCACTCACTCACTCTCTCACTCACTCACTCACTCATTCACTCACTCTCTCACTCGCTCACTCACTCTCTCACTCTCACTCACTCACTCACTCACTCTCTCACTCACTCTCTCGCTCTCTCACTCACTCACTCTCTCACTCTCTCACTCACTCTCACTCTCTCACTCACTCACTCACTCTCTCACTCACTCACTCACTCACTCTCTCACTCGCTCACTCACTCTCTCACTCTCTCACTCACTCACTCACTCTCTCACTCACTTTCTCGCTCTCTCACTCACTCACTCACTCACTCACTCTCTCACTCACTCACTCTCTCACTCTCTCACTCACTCACTCTCACTCTCTCTCTCACTCACTCACTCGCTCTCTCACTCACTCTCTCACTCACTCTCTCTCTCTCTCACTCACTCACTCACTCTCTCACTCACTCACTCACTCTTTCACTCACTCACTCACTCACTCACTCACTCACTCTCTCACTCTCTCTCTCGCTCACTCACTCACTCGCTCACTCTTTCACTCACTCACTCACTCTCTCTCTCACTCTCTCACTCACTCTCTCACTCTCTCACTCGCTGTAGGACAGCCTACAGTCTGAGCGGGGACAGACCGGCTCTCAGGCTGAAATATTCATGTGTTCATCAAACATTCATGGACGTGTTTGTTGCTCTTCTCTCGGGTGTTAAACTCACACATCATCATCATCGTTGTTGTCATCTCTCTGCTGAGAGTGAAAAATAAAAACCTGTCGTCTGCTCGTTTCTGCGGAGGAGACATCTACAGCGGTGTGTCTGTCCTGCCCCTCCCCCCCAGGCCTCCTGCTGAGACGCACATGTCGGAGAAACAGAGGCACTGGAAACCATCATCATCATCTCCCCACACACTTCCTGAGTAAACAGACGACAGGGAGGAGATGAGCGGCGGAGATAAAATGAGCAGATCGGGGAAGATGTGTCCGATCGGGAGCTCCGGTCTGATCGGAGGACAAGTGTAATCCCGGAAGGCAACAGATGGGTCCTGATAGGACTTCTGTGAAACCACGTTGTTGCCATGCCGATGTCAGAGTAGCCCTAATTAGTCCTCACATTTACTCGCCCGCAGATACGCTCGCCTGGAAATAAGTGTAACTCGGGGGGGGGACGGCTCCGATGGAGGCCAGACTGTGACAATTAGGGATCCGGCAGGAGCTACGCAAACACAAACAGAGGAGGGGGAGGGGCCAAGGATGCTGCCATTAGGATCGTCATGGCCACCGTCTCCTACCTGAGCGCTCAAATGAGGGCAAACAAACTCACGGGGAGGAGGCTCAGAGGAAAACAAGAGTCTGAGAGAGAGATGATCGAAACCAGAGAGGGAGAACACGCAGGAGGAGCGAGAACGCCGCTCCGCGAGTCTAATTAGTCCAGAGGAGAGGTGTCAACGGAAGAAGAAGAAGAAGAAGAAGAGAGGGGGGAGGGAGCGATGGATGAGTAGGAAGGGCTACTGGAGGCAGAAACAGAGAGAGAGAGAGAGAGAGAGAGAGGGAGAGAGAGAGGGAGGCAGAGCGTATCTCCTCCTCCTCCTCCTCCTCCTCCGGGCTCCTTTCACGCTGCATGTTTGGGAGCAGTCACATTTTCTCCTTGAGGGACTCAGAGATGGACCTCTGAGCCCGGACTGAACCTCAGCCACCTGTGGACTCGATCCGCTTCCTCTGGGACCGAAACCAGAAACTCCTGCAGGGAGAGAAAACACGCCGACACACCGGGGGACCGCCGCTCTCTGTCAGGAGGTAAACTAACAGGAGCGCGCACGAGCACCGCTATCAACGCTGCTCCGATAGGGAGGCGGGGGAAATAATGAGCTGAAGAGAGAGGGAGAGAGAGGGAGAGAGGGAGGGAGAGAGAGAGAGAGAGAGAGAGAGAGAGAGAGACAGAGAGGGAGAGAGAGAGAGAGAGAGAGAGAGAGAGAGAGAGAGAGAGAGAGAGAGAGAGAGAGAGAGAGAGAGAGAGGGAGAGAGGGAGAGAGAGAGAGGGAGAGAGGGAGAGAGAGAGAAACAGAGAGAGAAACAGAGAGAGAGAGAGAGAGAGAGAGGGAGAGAGAGAGAGAGAGAAACAGAGAGAGAGAGGGAGAGAGAAACAGAGAGAGAAACAGAGAGAGAGAGAGACAGAGAGAGAGAGAGAGAGAGAGAGAGAGAGAGAGAGAGATAGAGAGACACTGACAGTTGTGTAGTCAGTGAGTCACGATTTTCAAGCCGTGATTATTTAGAGAGGAGAATAATTAGAGGGAAGGAGAGGCTGTCAAACAGACGAGCAGGAGACCACCGAGACCACCAAGACCACCGAGACCACTACCTCCCAAAGAGACCAGAGTTCACTCTGAACTGGATCTGTCCTCACAGCCGGGTCAGCCAGAACAGTTCCCTGGTCTTTGTAAGAAGAAGAAGTTCCTCCTCCTCCTCCTCCTCCTCCTCCTTCTCCTCCTCAGTGTTGGTTTTACGGGTTTAACAGATCGAGAAGACACGCCCACTGACCTTTTCAAACTCAAACGCAGACGTGAATCCTGACCTTTGGCTCTTCAAACTGAACTTCTGTAGACTCATAATCAAGCTCCTCCTCTGATTGGTCCGACTCTGACTTCGGCGTCTCATCGGGGATTTTTTTATGTAAGTGCGGCCCGAGGCGGCTCTGGAGCCCGGGCGCTCGGCCAGAGATGGGTGGGCGTGTTGACAGTAGTAGGTGTTTCATCAGGGTGGATGTGATTGGATGGTTGTGTTTAGGGTTAGCCAACGCCTGTCAGCGCTGTGATTGGTCTCTTTAGAGCCCGCCGTAAACCCGACCGTAAACATCGTCAGAAAAACTCCGACACACTTTGAGCTTCAGGAGGTTTTACTCCAGATCACTCTGAACATGTCAGCTGGAGAACCATCTAGGGCTGTAGATCTACGCTAAGAAACAAACCTGGACGACGTCAACCTGTGAGGACGACTGAACACTGGGGGTGCTAGCTCTGCTAATGTTAGCCGCCATCCTCTTAGCCTCAGAGAACAGACACGCCTCCTCCTCCTTTCCTTCCTCTTACTCTCTTTCCTCCTCTTCCTGTTTTTCTCCTTCCTCCTTTCCTTCCTCTTCCTCCTCTTCCTCTTCCTCCTCTTCCTCCTCTTCCTCCTAACGGTGCCTCTCAGACAGCCCCTCACTAATTAAATGCTGTTGCTCATTTGTCCGCTCCGTGCTCCTGTAGAAACATGGCGGTGTAAGGTGGCGGCCTCCGTGGCGGCGGACCGGCTCCAGTCTGGACATTAACGGGTTTAATGTTTTATTTTTAACGATGGATCAATGAACTCTCTGATTATCGCTGATCCTGGAGTTGACCTGGAGAACTGGAGTCAGACAGAAGTCGGTCCTGATCTCGGCGCCGCGGCGGTCTTAGTGAGGAGGGCGTTTCTGTCCGTGCGGCGGCGTACATGAAGGTGTTTCCAGAGATGATGATGTTCAGTAAAAACTGCTCCTTTCCTTCAGACTCCGAGTCCTGAAGAGACTCCGCCCACCGCAGAAACGTGCGTCTGGTGGTTGTTGTGACAGTGAGTCGGCGTGACGTCTGATCCAGCAGCTCGCAGTTTTCAGAGCTTATTTACTGAACAGCACATGACAGGAACCATCAAAGAGCGCGAGCCAAACCTGATTAAACACACACTCAGCAGACACGCAAACACCCGCAACAACACTCAGGGACGGACAGGCGGGCGGGCGGGCGGCCAATCAGGGAGGAGAGAGGGAGCGCTGCGTTACACTGAGACTAACCGTCAGAGCGACTAACGCCGTTCTTTTTGACGCCTCACTAAAATGTTTTTCTTCTTCAGGGTTAAAGGTCAAACGACCTGAGGAGGAGGAGGAGGAGGAGGAGGAGGAGGAGGAGGAGGAGGTCGGTGATGAAGGACGGGCAAACATCATCCCATCCAAGGATAACGGGAGAGGAAGAAGATGACGAATGAACCGACGCTCTGAGTTAACGGGCTCTACGTGACCTCTGACCTCCGGCGGAGCTGCGGCCCTCCGTGAATCACAGGGAGGCGAAGGAACGACCTCGCCGTCACTCTAACGTTCCTCCTTTATTCTCCTCGGGGACATAAACTCACAGCAGACGTCACGCAGGTGTGAAATCACCTGAGACGAGCGGAGCGGCGAGCACAGAGGGAGCGTTTGGACCCTGGCGTCACTTTCAGGCGTGGACGAGACCGGAGGCGTCGCTCCAAGAACAACAATGAGCAGACAGAGCTGCGCATGAATGAAAGCATTGATCTGAGTGCACCGCACTGATGTTACTAACCACATGCCCCCCAACGAGGGGCGGGCGGGCGGGCGCGTGTCTGAGCGGAGACGGTTCCCCCTGAGCTCACAGACGCAGACGATGGTCTGTTAATGTCAGTGTGTTCCCAGGAGGAATGCTGACAACAAGACCCGGATTATCTTGACTCTTGATGATTTATGGACCGGAGAGAACATGGCGGCATGCTTTTGGACGCGCCTACACGTTTCCTGTAGCTGCTGAGCTGGAGAGGACGCCACAGGGAGGGAGCGGTGAGTCCGACCCTCATATCCCACCTGCACTCAGCACTCTTTAGTCCAGATCTGCAGCAGGACCAGGGACCAGGACCACACGTGCTCGTGGTCCTGGTTCCTGTAGGCTCAGGAAACCCGACCCAGAACTCAGATTTCCCCAAACCTGTAATCCTGCGAGGATTTTAACGAACAAACATCCAGTCCCTGTAACTTCTACCAAACACTTCAGTCTGCTGCTGCAAACTAACAAACTAACTAACTAACTAACTAACTAACTAACTAACTAACTAACTAACAAACTAACTAACTAACTAACAAACAAAAACAAACAAACAAACAAACAAACTAACTAACTAATTACCAAACTAACTAACCAATTAACTAACTAACTAACTAACAAACAAACAAACAAACAAACAAACAAACAAACAAACAAACAAACTAACTAACTAACTAACTAACTAACTAACCAATTAATTAACTAACAAACAAACTAACTAACTAATTAACTAACTAACTAACAAACAAACAAACAAACTAATTACCTAACTAACTAACTAACTAACTAACTAATTAACTAACTAACTAACTAATTACCAAACTAACTAACCAATTAACTAACTAACAAACAAACAAACAAACAAACAAACAAACTAACTAACTAACTAACTAACTAACTAACCAATTAATTAACTAACAAACAAACTAACTAACTAATTAACTAACTAACTAACAAACAAACAAACAAACTAATTACCTAACTAACTAACTAACTAACTAACTAACTAACTAACCCCCCTGCAGCTCCTCATCTCTGAACATCAACAATAATCCAGATCCTGCGGCTCACATCTTTAGACCTGGTCCAGAGGACACGCTGTAGAAAGGAGAGGGATCTTTGTGGACTGTACTTGTGTGTGTGTGTGTGTGTGTGTGTGTGTGTACAGTACAGCTAATTACCGACTGAGATGTTGTTTACTCGACACGATCCACTACAGAGCAGCACACACACACTTCTTCTCCTCCGAGTCGTGATTGAATTTTGTCAGGGTTCAGACTAACTCAGTCACAAGTCTTGTGACGTACTTCAGCTCCTGTATTTTTGATTTTTACTGGCTAATCAAATTCTCATCACCCTACAGCGTACAATACACAGAGGGTGTACTTTTCCACTGTACGGACGGTTTCAGCAGCAGCAGCAGCAGCTAAAATTAGGAGGTAACCTGGAGCAGCAGATTTTATCCATAAGGTGGAAAAGTTCTGCTGGAGAACCTCGGGAGTCTGACTTTCAGCCGCTCTGCAAACAAAAGCTGATTATATGAGTGTTTATGAAAGAGCCTCTCTAAGAACGGTCAGTCCCATTCTGATTAAAGAGACAGGTTTTATTTTCATAAAGACACTCCAACAAAGTTTAGACGGAGAAACAAACTTCAGCTGCAGATCTAGGAAAACAGGACGTGGATGTGCGACAGATCACCGAGGGCCTGTGTCCACTTACAGCGAACACACAACTTTGGTCTAAGGCTACGTTCTCACTGCAGGTTCTGATGCACTCTTCGGGTTTTTGTTCAATCCGATCTTTCTGTGCGGTCGTTCACTTTACAACAACAAATGCGTCTGTGAAGTGACCCTCATGCGCACAAAACACAAATATCTCTCCGCTCCTGTTTGTGTTTGTTGAACAACGGTGACGTTTGTCTCATATTGATGACGTGACCCGAGCGTCACACTGCAGTCACATCAGATACATATCTGATTTATATCCACATACAGAAGAGGGTCGGATCAGAACCAATCAGAACTGACCTGTTCACACTCAGATGAAGAAATCGTACAAAAACAGCTGAAGTAAAAACACGGATCTGATAAAACATGAAACACAAACTCGTTATAATGAAGAACAAACGTTTGATAAACGTGTTGACTCCTGTGCAGCGTGAACAGGTGGAGAAGTGAGTCTTCAGACTGATCCTGTTCTCTAAAGAAGGCTCTAAACTGATTAGTTTTCCACTGATTTCCTGACTGCCTCTAGTGGCCACTCATGGAACTGCAGATTTTAGCACCTCCTTTATTTCTCTTGATTATCTGGGAGTTAGCAGCAGCCCTTCACCCTCAGACATGGAGTTTGTTCAGTTTCTTTTCCATCATTGTTGACAAAAGTAGGACATGAAGTCCCGCCCACTCTGGATTTTTATTGGACAATAAGAGACACTGAGGAGCGCCTCAGCAGGCCAGAACTATTTTCAGCTGAGAGTGCTTGACCTTATCTGACAGTGAGAGACTTTTAATTTAGACGCTGATATCAGTGTCTAACCGGGACACCCTGTTTGTGCTGAAAAGAGCACAGAGTGATCAGTGGACACGGGCCCTAATTTTATATATAATAATAATGATGATTAAGTAGTTAAATATAAAGACAGCTGTTGAAGACACAGGCCCTAACTTTAAACGATGACTCAGTCATGTGCGCCTCATCAACCTCTCTCCTCGTTTATTTACTTCAGGTTCAGTGAATTAAAACATCAGGTCTAGACCAGGAAAAACTCATCCGTACTTTCAGGTGTATTCAGATTTCACAGCTGAGGCGCCGTTTTTACCGCCAGGTCGGGAACTTCCTGCCATGAAAAAGGCGGTTCTGAGTTCTGCTGAGGACTTATTCTGGTCTGGTGTGTTTTTGGAAATCTCAGAGGTTACAGCTGATCTCAGTGTTTTACAGCAGGTCACATCTTTAGAGTCACAAGACTGCAGAGTTAGGAGGAGCAGTTTCCCCTCACAGTTCAGGAGCGGCTGGTTTTCTGCGGCTCTTTCACTCACAGATGTCTGCTGAACATCTCAAACACTCAAGTTTCACCAGAACCTTCAGAGTCAAACTGATGAGAGCGGTACATTCACCGGTCTCCACTAATCACTAATGCAGCGGCTGTGAGAACAATTTAACGCTTTATTTTTTAGGTAAGATAAAAATCAGGAGTCTGTCTCTCTTTGTTGGCTAATCTGAGCCTGTGGGCAGCAAAACCAGAACTGTTAGTGGATTTATAGGCGGAGCTCCAAGTCCAGAATGATCTGACACCATAACTGTGACACTTACAGGAGTAAACAGGTCTGAATAAGAGGCAGGTGTGCGGTACAGACAGACTCTCGTGTGACGGTCTTCTCCTGTGTTTCCAGACCTCTTCCTCTCGTCAGGATAATGCACACGTCCCTCGTTCTGGTCTCTGCAGCCACCATGAGCAACATGACGGTGCTTGACACTGCAGACCCCTACGACCACGACATGACCTCCTCTGAGGCCGTCTACCCAATCAGCTTCCAGGTAATCCTGCAGCTTCACAAACACACCTGAGAGTGAAAACTCCCCTCTGACTCTGAACCCGCTTCATCGTAGAGACTTTAAAATCAAACCTTCATTTCAACTCGGGGAGAAACTTCTAAACTGTGACGAGACGCTCAAACTCATCGAACAGGACACCAGAAAACAAGGCCTGACGACAAGAGCCAGCAGAGGGCGCTCTCATCGTCACCTGGCCAGTCCACTCACTCTTAAAGTCCAGTACACAGATCAGCTGTAGATACTTCATACTGAGTACTGTGTTCTATAGTAGTATACAGTACATACTTCATACTGAGTACTGTGTTCTATAGTAGTATACAGTAGATACTTCATACTGAGTACTGTGTTCTATAGTAGTATACAGTACATACTTCATACTTCATACTGAGTACTGTGTTCTATAGTAGTATACAGTAGATACTTCATACTGAGTACTGTGTTCTATAGTAGTATACAGTACATACTTCATACTTCATACTGAGTACTGAGTACTGTGTTCTATAGTAGTACACAGTAGATACTTCATACTGAGTACTGTGGTCTATAGTAGTATACAGTACATACTTCATACTTCATACTTCATACTGAGTACTGTGTTCTATAGTAGTATACAGTGAATACTTCATACTTCATACTGAGTACTGTGTTCTATAGTAGTATACAGTACATACTTCATACTGAGTACTGTGTTCTATAGTAGTATACAGTACATACTTCATACTTCATACTGAGTACTGAGTACTGTGTTCTATAGTAGTATACAGTACATACTTCATACTGAGTACTGTGTTCTATAGTAGTATACAGTACATACTTCATACTTCATACTGAGTACTGAGTACTGTGTTCTATAGTAGTATACAGTACATACTTCATACTGAGTACTGTGTTCTATAGTAGTATACAGTAGATACTTCATACTTCATACTGAGTACTGAGTACTGTGTTCTATAGTAGTATACAGTACATACTTCATACTGAGTACTGTGTTCTATAGTAGTATACAGTACATACTTCATACTTCATACTGAGTACTGAGTACTGTGTTCTATAGTAGTATACAGTACATACTTCATACTGAGTACTGTGTTCTATAGTAGTATACAGTACATACTTCATACTTCATACTGAGTACTGAGTACTGTGTTCTATAGTAGTATACAGTACATACTTCATACTGAGTACTGTGTTCTATAGTAGTATACAGTACATACTTCATACTTCATACTGAGTACTGTGTTCTATAGTAGTATACAGTACATACTTCATACTTCATACTGAGTACTGAGTACTGTGTTCTATAGTAGTACTCAGTCTGACTGTAAGTCGTCTGTTATTCTATAGTTTGGTTGTTCTGGTTTAACTGGTTTCCAGTTTGGAGTTTACTCTGGTAAATGACACCACAGAGTTGTTCGTTCGTTTACACACAGAAGAAAAAAAATGGTTTCTGTTCTGATTGGACCCTCGGTCTGTGGGTCGGTGTTCTTGACAGTTTCATATCAGCGAGTGTAAGAGCAGAAGTTCAGGCATTTTCAGCCAACGACGACGACGACAACAAACTCTGTGGTTGATGAGACAAAACTGATCTGAAGAGCGTGCCCAGATCACGAACATCCTGAACTAACATGAGCGAGCCTCAGGCAAGATTTAGCAGAAGGGAGAGGAGGAAGAAAAAGTCCCTCTAACAGGCAGAAACATCCTTTCAGAACCAGAACCATCAGAGCGAAGCCAAAGGTCCAGAGAGTCCGATGAACTCAACTCCAGCATGTTGTTGTTGTTTTTCTCTGTGGGCAGGTTTCTCTGACGGGCTTCCTGCTTCTGGAGATCGTTCTGGGCTTAAGCTCCAACCTCACTGTGCTGGTCCTCTACTGCATGAAGCAGAACCTCATCAGCTCCGTCTCCAACATCATCACCATGAACCTGCATGTGGTGGATGTCCTGGTGAGTCCGGGTCACAACCTCTGTCTTTTTTTTCCGGCAGACGCCTCATGACACCTGCAGGTTCACCGAGTTCAGGTTCAGACAAACTGTGTCATCAGATCTTCAGGATGATGAAACAGGAACAGGAGCTGCCTCAAACCTCCATGACCTGAATCATCCGTCAGAAACACCTTCTGTTTTTACTCTGGACCACTTGGTTCCTCCTTCCTTTAGTTTATAGACTTGAAGCTGAAAAGTTCTCAGTAATTCTGTGTTTTTTTCTCCACTTCCTGAAACCAACGTTGTTCAGTAACGTTGTTCTTATTCAGCGGGAGAGTCTCTGTGATGACGCTCGGCTCAAACAGCGTATCCCCCGGTGATCTACTCAATCTCTGTCCTCCCATTGGCTGTATCAGGTGTCAATCATAGAAAACATGAACCCCCTAATAACTTTTAAAAATGGAGCTGTACAGAAAAAAGAGGACTTGAACACAAACCAGTCTGACAGTAACTACATGTCAACATCACAACCAGGGGGGAGAAACATTTATATTCTGTGTCATTCATTTAGAAAGTTTGTCCACAGCTCCATAAGGAGGCGGGGTTTAGGACCTATACTGCAGCCTGTCACCAGAGGGTGCTGTTCTCACAGAGGCTTCATCAGCGACGCTCTCGTTCGAACCATCGTAAAACCTCCTGATCAGATCACGCCTGATCATTCGAACCGTCGATAACTGGGTCCTCGCTACAGAACAGGT